GGCGAAATCTGTCGTTACCTGTGCAGTGCTCCTAAAGTAAGTAATTTTTTAGTAGTTTATTAGGAAAGTAAAACTAAAAGTTCATTCAGTCATTGAGAATGTGTGTCTGTTGCAGATACCCACGCTTCTTCATGTAAAGAAGAATTTCTATTTACCATCCAAAATTAATTCCCTTTTGGTTTCCAGTTATGACCCCATGTTTCTGTTTAGCTGCTGTGTGTGATCCCCTAGGTTAAACCTATTTATTATTATTCCTTAAGATTTTATTTACTTGAATCAAATCTATTTTCAGTCTCCTTCCTTTTAGATTGAAGTAAATTAGCATCCTTAACCTGTCTATATGTGATAAAAATATTTCTTCCAACTGTTTCTAAGGCTATAATATCATTTTTGTTAGTGACCAAAACTGAACCCTAAAGTGAGGTCTTACTAGTACATTGTAATGTTAATGCATATTTTTCCTGGTTTAGAATTCTATACTTCTTAGTGTAGCCTAAGCATTCTGTTAACTACCAAAAGAAAATATCCATAAGAGACACACAAAAAAGCAAATTAACATTAAAATAATGTCTAAATGAACATAGAAACCAACAAGCAACAAATAGCCTATAAATTGGATGCAAACTGCTCAGTGTTATAACTTATAGTGCACTGTCCCTCCTTCCTGTCTCTTTTGTGTTTCCGGACTTTTACAGTAGGTCTGGTCCTCATTCAGCGCAACATATCAATACAGCCTATGACTCCCACTGACTCCATGGCAATTGATAGGTGTCTAGGGAAACAGTGTGTTACTCAATCTGTAATGACTACTGTACTACCTGTACAGTAGTCTGCTGCACCAATTATGTTTTAACAACAGTAAGACCTAACAGAGAGAAGCAAGCACAAAAGAAAAGAACACAAATCATACCATACCCCAAAAGAGCATGGCTATTGCTGTACTGTATGTGCACAACTATAGTCATTGTGCTACTCTTAATTCTGTCACTCTGTAACAAAAATGAAAAAGATTTAGACAACATTTACGATTGGGCAAACATTTGGTAGAAGACATTTAGTATAATGTAGAAGACTGCAGAGTATTACATTACATTACAGATAGCGGAAACATACAAGTAAGTTTATAAATATAAGGTGGTACAGTATACACCAAAGGAGCTGGTAAAATAGTTTAGAGTTTATTTGGACACATTAGTTAAATCTTCTTGACAATATAGGGAAACAATAAAAAGTAAACAGAATTATTAGGGAATATAGTTTGAGCTTAACAAGGGATGGAGATGTTAAGGAGAAATTCTGTACACTGCATTATAAAAAAGATTTTGCTGCTTTTGAATCAGTCCACAGAAGAACACCCAAATATATTTGCACCGAGAGGATAAAAAACCTGAATATTTTAGCCGTGAACAAAGTAAACTTATATGGTTTGATCATTCCAAAAACCTCAAAGACATTGCCACACAGTTTACTAGATTCCTTCATAATCACCACCAAAACTCACACCAACGGACACAAGTGGGAACTTCTGGATTTAAAAAATGCAATAGGCATGTTATTACACTAAGTGTTTTAGGAGCATGTAGTGAAAGTAGGGATCTTCAGATATACAGTCTTAACTACCAGAACCCAAACAGGCCACAAGGCCCTAATGACTTCCTCTGCTTGGCAATCTTTCAGATGTTTTTATATTTCAAGTGTTTTTTCTCTTCTATTTTAAACCTACTCCTATGATTTTTTTAAGATAAGGACAATTCTGTAACATTCCATACTGTTACAGTATGTTTTTATTATTATTTCCCTCTAAATGTAACATATTTTGAAGTTTTGCCACTGTAGGATTGTTGAAAAATTTAATCAAACACCTACTGGTGAAGGTTTGAGACATGATGTGTGGAAGGAGTTTGCTGAACGTTTTGGAGTTTATGGGATAACAGAGTCATATGGATCAACTGAATCCAATGTTCGTTTTATCAACTACACTGGTAAAATTGGAGCTATTGGACGAGCAGGATTCTTGAATAAGGTAAATGGTTCTGTTGGTTTTTTTGTTCCATTTTTGTCTTCAATTCTTAATTTTATTTTAAACTTAATTTATGTAAAAATCCTTATATATTTCGATTTAATCTGTGTTGACTATAAATACAATTGATGCATTAACAATGTCTCAGCTGAAAACTTACTAAACAATACAGCTTTCACCAATACAGTATGAGTGATGGATTATTTTTCACTAGTAGATATTTATTTCTCTTGAAAAATGTTAGTGGAGGGTAGTGAATCATGCCAATAGACACATCTAAACAGGGCATTTTTGTTAGATGTAATTGAGAGTTATTTTTACATTTTTCAGCTGATGTTTCCATTTGAGTTTTTAAAATATGATGTGCTGAAAGAAGAAGTGGTTAGAGATGAGATTGGTCGTTGTGTTAAAGCCAAAAAGGGTAGGCACTTTATTTTATTTATAAATAAAAATTTGATATGTGATAGTTACCCACAAATAAAATATACACAATAACATTTACTGTACTCTGGTCAAAAGTAGAATGCAGTACCTATCAGTACGTATCAGAGTACCTGTACAGTTAGTTGAATATATGCTGTAGATTTTTTATACTGAACCTGTTACAGAACTCTTGTTTACTGAAAAGTGTCTTACTAAAAATAAGTGAAACAAGTTACCTATCTTTAAATGTTAAGTAAACCAGTGAGCAGCAGCATTTACAGGACTTACTGTAGATACAGTGGTCACCAGCCCCTTTCAAAATCTTAATCTTTTGTTGCCCTAAAGCCCAAAAAAAGAAGACAAAATCAGACTTTCTTTCTAATTGTACCTTTCAACATCCAAGAAAATTCCTGAAAATAAATTAGAATAATTGGCTTGAATAAAAGAACAACCCCCTGTGTTAATATTCGGTAGAAATACCATTTGCTTGAATTACAGCCTTTAGACTGTTTGGATACATCTCTATCAATTTTGCACACCTAGATGGAGGAATGCGAGCTAGTTTCTGGGTTAAATACTGTAGGTTAAGAGTCAGGAATACCCAATACATTTTAGCTCTATCTGTTAAAATTCCAGTGTATTCAATGCAAAATGCAAAAGTTTGAAAAGCTTAAGTCCTTTCTATTAAACTTTTGCTTTTAGGGCAATTTAGTCAACATTCCGATTTAGGGCAATGCAGTGTATAGAGCCATACAGTATTTGCAAGAAACAAAATGTGAAGATAACATTAAAATATCACTTTTCCTAAATTTCATTTCTGTCCTACAACACAACCATGCCATCAAACATCCTGTGTGTTTTCTAATAATCCTAACCAAGTTTAAAAATGCAATTGTAAGGGGGGTGATCACTTATCCAAATAAGGTATTTTATTGTTGTAATAATAATTAATTTTCAGAATGTTTTAGAATTTTATTTTTCACTTGGCTAATTTGGGTTAGTTTATATTGGAACAGGCCTAATTTAATTTGTTTTTATTTTCAGAGTTTCACACAACAAAAGATACAAATTAGGAAATGGGCTAGTGACTTTCTATACCCACTGTACTCTGATAGCTTGATTCTATTCATACAGCATGTTAGATATACCGTACAATAATAGAAAAATGAGACGATATCAAGACAAAGCACACACATCCTGACAGAGTGATTTCTACTTTAGAAATGCTGATTTTTGACTTATAAAGCCATCTAGAACATTAGAAGTAAAGCTATGCAGAGTAATAGTACTGTACTTCTGTTATTGTACTACATCTAGGAGAAGTTGGCCTTCTGGTGTCTCAGGTCACAAACCAAAACCCATTTTGTGGCTATGCTGGGAGTGTGGAGCAAACACAGAAAAAACTGCTGAGGAATGATCTAAAGGAAGGAGATGTTTACTACAATTCAGGAGACCTGATGAAGGTGGATAAAGATGGTTTTGTTTACTTTTGTGACAGGGTTGGGGACACATTCAGGTACAGTATGTTGCAGCAGGAATGACAATAGTAATGACTGTGGTATCCCCTGGTTCTTTCAGTGTTGTAAACTATGACTACCTATAAGCAATGTAAAAGGTTTTCCAAGATACTTAAAAAAAGCGCTACCATAAAATAACATTTCTTTATTGGAATTATTATGCATTTAAGAATTCTTAAAAACCTCAGTCCTGAGACTAGTTAAATTAAAATTAATCTGTGGAAAAAGCTATTTTCTTGCTATACAAAATGTATAGATTGCAGTATACTGTACTTTATTTTGTTCAAGTAGGGTAGCAGCGTCAGCATGCATAGGCTGCAAAGGGACAGGTTAAGGTTTATTCCGTGCTGAAAGGAAAAGAGACACAATGTTTTGGCTGTGGAGCTTCTTCAGGTGTGAGGGAGAGGGGAAAACCGGCAGTAGATAAAGCATGGGAGAACAAAAACCGGGAGTTGAGAGGAGGCAGTCTCAACACTCAGGTGGTGTGAAGTCAAGAGAGGCAAAGAGAGGTGTGAAGTCCAAACCTGTAAATGAATAGAGAGGATTAGAAGGAAACGAGTCTGTCTTTGAGAGAAGGGGGAAAGTGTGATCCTAATTTAAGGATAGCTTTGATTTTGGATATTGTTCTGCTGTAAGTGTTCTGAAACCCCTCTGTGTGGACGCAGACGGAGAGATCAGTATGATCATGGCTGTTAGAGATGAAATGAGAAACTATGGGTTTGGAGAGATCCTTGATCCTCACAGCCTTCGTCCCAGTCTCCTTCCTGTTTAGCCAATGTAAATGGCTGGGCATTTTCTGCAAGAGATTTGTTTCAAAATCACTTTATTTTGCGATTAGTTGGAGGCTCAACATGTGGCACTCTCCGTGGTGAGTGACTTGAAATCACTATAGGAGAGCTTTTATGCTCACAATCCTTGGCTGATAGCTCTCTGATAGATAGGAACACAGATACATGATACATGAAATGAGAAAAATTAAAAGAAAAGTTTGATATACTGCAGAAAAGCAACAAGGAGATAAAAGTTTACAAGATCTACAGCAGGAAGTGTGGGATAAATTTAATCTGACCTACAAAATTAAAATACAGTATCTGAATGTACTTTAGTATATTCGAAAGAGTTTACTGTACTTAGAATCTCATTTGTGGCTAAAGGTGGAAAGCGGAAAATGTGTCTACAACAGAAGTGGATGAAATTCTCGAGGAAATGAAGAGGTCAATGTGTATGGAGTACCTGTATCAGGTAAGCAATAGTCCAGCAGTTCATTGGAACAATACTTACAAGACTGAATACTTAGTGTCCTTACATTATTCTTCAGTTTTGACTATATTCAATTTTAATTATTCGGCAAGAATTAAGGTGTCAATACTATAAAATTTAATTTAATTTAATTTAATAGGTTTATTCCATGCTGAAAAGAGAAGAAAGAAAACAACGTTTCAGCAAAGAAGGCCACACAGACAAAACTTTGTGTTTTCTTTCTTCTTTTTTCAGCATGGAATAAACCTATTACTTGTTCCAGTAACACATTAACACTATGATCCTTCTCAGAGTGCTCAATGGCTGAAAATGTTGTAATACAGGTGTTTTATGGAAGAGGACCAGCACAGGAGCAAGCCTGTTTAGCAAACCTGTGCAGAAATAATGGCTCCTTTTACACTCTGTAATAAATTCATATTGCCTAGTATGTAATTGACAATATTTGCATAGTCAGAAAAATATTAAGAGCAGTATGGTCAAAGTCCACTGTTCAGTTTAGACATTTTTCTTCTCCATATACACTACTAGTTCATCTTGCAGGAGATGAGGAAAACATTTGCTTATTTTTAAAATAATTTGTTTTTGACATTTCAATAAAAATGTGGGAAATCCAGACCCTGCAGATAAAATGTTTACCCACTGATAACCAAATTAAGCAAATCACCCACAATTTATTCACCTCGGAAGCTTTGGTATTTTTTATTCTGAAAACGATTTCAGCATTTTTGGTAAACTGGTAATAATTCTGTTAGGAATTAAGTCATTTTTTTTCTGCCAATCTGCAATATATGCTAATAATCTATTACTTAAATTAATTAAAATTGAAGGTCGGGCTACTTTTATTGATTAACGTACCAATGCTGTCTATTGTAGTCAATTGAAGTCTGCATGTACAGGTAGTTCTCGAATATGGATCAGGGATCTTTAGAACAATGTTGTGGTATCAGAGCTTCTTTGTTATCCTCAGGATATGAAGGCAAGATAGGAATGGCTTCACTGGTTCTCAGGCCTCAGAAAGCATTTAACGGACAGAGACTGTATGAAGCTTTTGGAGATCATTTACCAGCTTATCCAAGACCATTCTTCTTGAGAATACAGGTACTGTATATGACACTTTATGACAACATAAAAATGTTGACAGTAATATATTACCAGTGACTTATTTGAAATAACTTTTAACAGCACAATTTAAAAATTTTCTATGCTTTTCTTCATTAATAGGATACTAGTCATTAGGACAGCCACAAACCTTCTTTTTGCAGAGAAAAGGTTTTCAGAATTGTTAATGATGTATTACTGTATATTGTGCTTTTAGGATACTATGAACATCACTGAAACTTTCAAGTACAAGAAAGTACACCTGGTAAAAGGTTTCAATCCAAGTGCCATTGCTGACCCACTTTATGTTTTAGACTGATCCAGCAAAACCTACAAACCCCTGACAAAAGAAATGTATGAAGATATAATTTCTGGCAAGCTGCGGTTATAAGAGACATTATGCCACCAACGTGTGTTACAATTGTGGAATTTCACACATTGACTCTAATGCAGGAGGATAGTTTAGTTTGTGATGATCTACACAAACTTAAGTGCATGATTGCTTTTTGTTTATATGGGTGGCAGGGGCCAAGCATAATGAGTGTGGGGATAATGGTGATGACACAGTCATCAATTAATATTTTAAAAATTTCCATGACAGTGTCTCTCCCATTTGAAAACAATAAATGAATGATAAAGTGAATCCTAGTTCTGTGGCTTATTTGGAAATGTGCTAAAAAAACTCCTACTGTATGTTTTTTTTGTAAGTGGTTTCATATACTGTAGCTCAGAAATTCCCTTTTTGCATTTAGTTTCCATTTTTGTACCTGCATTCAGAACCTGACAAAAAATCCCAAATACAGTAAAACAGCAAAATGAAGTTCAAATTTGAAGACATTTCTCCAAATGTGATTGTGTGGATATATAAAAAAACATAGAATCATTGAAAACACAAGGAATACATTGGCTAAATGTTTTATTCCTAAATTTACATGCCATAAAATGAGATTAATCAAAAACTAAATCACAGAAAACTACACCCTGAAAATAAAATGCTATAACTATCTCTAAGGGACAAAAGATTATGTTCATATGAATGTTTTTTGCAAACATAAAAATGTGTGAAAAAATCAATATTACAAATACAAAAATCACAATTATCAGAAACATAAACGTTATACCAGACTGAAGTTAGTTCTGTATGAGCATTTTATCCTTACTTTCCATTGTCACCTTGTATACCACCTTAAACAGGGCCCTCCTTATTTTACTTCCAAAAAGATTGATTTCAGGGTGGTTCGGAAAGGCACTCAACTGAAATCAATCTTCTTTTTGTGGAATGTTTTTTTTGTATTTATAATTTAAGTTATAATCTACCTAATCAAAGTCCATAAGGTTTGAAAATAGAAAGACTGTTGCCACAGCTGTTATACTAATGGTAATCTAAATGCTGTTGAAGACAAAATAAAGATTACAAAACAATAGCAAACATTCACTTATATCTAACTAACAGAGATGCAGGTATTTAAAGAAATTGGTTATATGCTTTAACAGCTCAGTTTTTCAAAAGCACATTAATTAACAAACCTTAATCATTATTTCTTTCAAACGTCTTTATATAGGTTATTGTTGATGTGGATCTTTAAAATATGTAAAAATATGTATTTTTTTATGATTGGACATACCATGAATAAATGATGAAATCACTGGTCTTGCACAAAACCTCCATTCAACAGTGAAGCCCAGTCTTTCCAGAACATGGAGTCTTTCCAGGACTGCAGATATCACAGCAGAGATAAACCAACCTGTTAACCATTCAGGTGGTAATGTAGAGCAACTGAATAAAAACGTCTGATGAACTAAGACTAGGAAACTAGATAGATTTCAGAAATTATTCAAATATTAGCTTCTACGGCATAAAAAAACAATGAAATTGCATGCCAATGTCAAAATCCTATTTTTTATATTTATGTTAATTTCCATGACAGTCTTTTGGCAGATGTAATTTCAAGAATTTTAAAATATTCTGAACAAGTCAGTGCCCCTAAATAAAACACTAATAAGAGATCAGGAATTGAAAAATGTCATTTCTAAAATACTAGAAATGCTATAGAATACACAGATAAAGTATTAGTAGAGTGACATATAGAGTACGTGCTAATAACCAATTTCTGCTATAGATTGTTGTCATATGAAAGCAAATGATAGTGCAAGGTTCAGGGTTATTGCTATTATTAGTCTTCACCTTCTCATTAAATACTTCTCACTTCTGTTATATGTAACTATTTTTCTAGAATTGACATTGAAATGACTCACATTTTCTATTTCTGCCATTAAACCTAACCTGAACTGGCTAGGCTACCATTTAATCTAACTACCTTAAAATGAAACTATTTTTCCCTGTTACATCCTATTTCTACTTTCTTAGTTTGCTGTAGTTCCTTTGTACTTTGTCTCCCCCTACATTTTAATTTTGTTTTTAAAAGCCTAGACTAGGATTCACAAACTGCAGTATGTTAAAAATTCAGCAAGCTAGAATTTTTATTAAGATCTGACTTAACATTCATATTATTCCTGTTCTTGAACCTCTGCTCTGACTGTGAAATTCTATCTTTCAAGGCACTGAATGGCTTATCTTCCCCTTACATTTCTAATCTCATGTTCAGTTACTATACAGTATATCCACCACCACAGTCTTCTATCTACTGATGCAAGTTCCTTGTCTGTACCCAAGACCAGACAGTAGATGATGGGTGATAGGGCATTTTGTGTCTACCTCTATACCGTGGAGTACATTTCCAGATAATACTATGTTTCTTAGGCAGCAGCCATATCATCCCTGCAGCTCTCAACTGGTTACCCACTGCAGCTAAGCAGGGTTGAGCCTGGTCAGTACCTGGATGGGAGACCTCCTGGGAAGCTATGGTTGCTGCTGGAAGTGGTGTTAGTGGCACCATCAGGGGGTGCCCACCATGCAGTCTGTATGGATCCTAATGCCCCAGTATAGTGGCTGGGACACTATACTGTAGTGGGCTCCATCTTTTGGATGAGACATTAAACCGAGGTCTTGAGCAACCCTTAAGTGGAATTTAACCAAAACTTAATGTCTCTACTTTTACTAACGTTATCATGGGATATTTTTAGTCAATGTCTCAGTTTAATGAATAACAGATCAATCAGCAAAGGGATACACTGTCACAAAAATTGTAAAATATAACTTTAGATATGTTACCAATTGTCATGTATCATGCTGAATATTACAATAATGTGAACAATCACGAAGGTCTGCCTGTTTCTGTAATACTTCCCATTTACAGCAGCTCGTTCAAATTTGATCTGTTTCTCTTCTCTTATACCCTCTATTTGATTTACTCACCTATGCAGCTTCTGTCTCACACTGTCCGCTAGCTCTTCAACCCTGTGTATATCTATCTCATTATAAGCTGGTTATTTAAGCCAGATTTGTCATTACTTTTCTCTTCAGAGTTCGCTTCTCTACTGCTTTCTGTCTCTCATTCCTCCCTAAAAGCCAATCTTGCCCTCTTCATCCCCCTTTAACTGACAAAAGTTTCATGTATTTCCCAACAATTTACACACACCCCAGTGGAGACAGCAGCTACCAGTGAACATCAAGACGGCCCCATTCCATCACCTTCCGACACCTTCGCACACCTTCACAAAGACATTTGTTTTTATAGCTCAAAAGATCTGCTTTCTCTCCAATCTATTCTGTAGTATTGCTCTGGTCTGTTGTTTTCTCCATTGTACTGCACATCTGATACATTGGTATTACACTCCATTTATACTACTAAACCTGGAAACTTACTGTAATGTTATGGTTTTTAATCGCAAAAACTGCATTTTCTTTCTTCCTGAAACTCCAGGAAGATTTCCTGAACAAATGGATTGGCTAAATTATTCTGAGTAGAAGTTCGCACTGACACATTTCCACCCATTTTCATGCTGGTTTGAATTCTGAATGAGTTTAATGTAGCATAATTTTCCAAAACATATAATACTGAGATTTTGCATTAAACCATTTCTGCGCATGTATGAAAGCCCCTTAAAATAAAAAAGTTTCTCTAATACATATGCACACTCCTGAATATTTGTATGTCAATTAAAAAGTCTCTGTATCATACCAAAATCCATTAGATTTCTCTCTTTTTACAGTCTTATCTGACCTGACACAATGTCATCATATACTGGTTCAGTGAGGGGTATGTACGTTTTCTCAGATGTGTCCAGAACATACAGAGGCTCCTTGATGACCGCAGGATTGAAGCCCTCTGCAACCAGCTTTCCTTTTTGCTGCTTAAAGGTCTCAGTCACATCTAGAGACATCTGAATGGGAAAATAAATTAAAATCAACACTAGACTGAAAATTGAAGAACAACAATCAAAGTATATATATATAAAAAAGAAAATCTCTCAAAATCAAAGATTATTTTGAATATACTGTGTACTTCTTTCTTGAAATTGTAAAGCTGCCCTTTCCAACACTAGCAAATAAAAGTAAAATTTATTTTAAAAGAAAATGTGGCAGTCCAGTCTCGGGGGCTCGGGTGCAGATGGATTGCAGAAAAAACTGGAGAAGGCAGTCCAGGCTAAAAACCATGTTTATTGCTGTTTTCATTACAGAATGGTGTACACATCAAAGAGCAGGAGAATAGAGGCAGTCAGATAGAGAGATGCACACAAGCAGAAAGAGAGTAAGAGTGTCCTCATGCTTTTGTAAAAAAGGAAGAGGAGAGAGAAAGTCTGGCAAAAGGGAGAGAAGAATAGGTCAAGGCACAGTTCAATTCCAGGAGTTGCTAAATTCTACAGCAATTTTTTAATTAAATATTTCATATAATGTTGGAACATTTAAAAAATAAACTATTTTGACTATTTTGCATTTTACAGTCTTACCTGTACTCTTAAAAACCATGGCCAGGAATACAAAGGCAAGTGCTTTATCAAATGTGCATAAAGCTCTTTTCCATCAAGTTTTTGATCACATTTCAGAACAAGTGCTGCCATCCCCACCTTTCCTTCATAGCCTAAAAGAGAAGGAACCACCAGTTCTCTTATTTTAAAACATCATACAGGCTTTTAAAGTTGAAGCCTTTCAACCCACCTTGCTCATTTTAGTTAAGTTTTTGAGTTCCATTTTTATCACTGCTGTAATCATCTTAAGATACAGTATATGTTAACTCTTTATAATTGGATCTTTTCTTCCCCCTCATGTGTTCCCTATCTGTGTGAATTTTGGTAATACACTCTTCTTAACTCTGGATGTTTTCTGAACTTCCCACTGTCTTAAATATCAAACTTTACAGTCCAGACTGACAATACCAGTCTGCAGCATGTCATTATTAGGCAGCTATGAGATGGATTTCCTAGGTAGCGAGGTACAAGTGAGCTCCTGCCTGTGTTAGACAAACATCATGTGGCCAGGGTGAACACATGCCTGTGAACCTTCTCTGTCTGCCAACTCTGTTGTAAGGAGTATGGACCTCACCATGTAAAAGCTCAATATTGGATATTTTGGTGGAGAGCATTCATTACACTCATTTCTCAGTCTTATGTGATATTAAGTCAGAAAGCATTATGCTGCAAGACCCCCAGCACATGAATCTAAATTGAGACAAAATAAAAGCCCTAGTTATGAAAAGTCCATACCAGAGCCATTATAGGTTCATGTTTGTTTCTTTAGCATTAAGTGCTACACTTCAAAGTGTTCTGACTGAAGTAAAATCTTTGGGCAAATTAATAGATTGCCCATTTTTGGCATCCTTTGACTTACCATGTGTAAAGGATCATTATTTTAGTGACCTGCAGTTAAGTGTATTATTTTTATCTCCCAGAAATGGTCTATAATAGGTATTAAATAAAAAGTACAGTAAATGCCTTCCAAAAGGCTTCCTGACACAAACATCACTATTGTTTTTTGTGCAAACTTTTTGATTACATAAAGTAGAGAAAATAAAAAAAGATAGTTAATATAGTTAATAGTTTCATCCTTTTGATCTGAATGTGCCCCACATTGAATTCAATATTCTCAAGACAAATAAAATGTGTATGCTATTATGATGAGTTATTGTGGAACTGTAAGATCAGTTAATCAGATTTTCAAATTAGGAGAAATACAGAGAAAGTAACAACATTTATATTTTGTCTGACAAATTATTAGATGGCAATATTAAAAAGTAATTTACCATTAACTTGTATTTGATTATCTGAATATAAAATAAGAATGAGCTATAAAAATAAATAAGGTTTATTCAATTATTGCTACTTTAGTGATGCAAAAGACTGCATGAAGAGAATCACTTAAAATTACGTTGTGTTTATTAAGGCTATACTACACAGTTTTACATCTACATAGTGAACCTATTTCAATTTATATTACACTAATGTCTATTTATCATTTCATTCATGGCATCTATCTCTAATGTGAATTATGTGGTTGGAATTGAAACCAGGAGAATATTTTTTACCTGGCACACTCACTCCATATACATTCACCTCCTGCAGGAAGTCCACACTGCTTAAAATGTCAGCAACTTCTGTAGTTGCAACATTTTCTGCTTTCCATCTGAAAACACGATGTGTAGGTCATTAAAACAAAAAGAAAAGCAAATCATTTATGTTTTTAAAATGATTGTAGACTGAACAAGCACAGAGATGTCAAACTCATCTAACTTTTCATCATTTGTTTTAACACTGTAAAGTTTACTATATAGAACTTCATACACTACTGTAGTTCTCTGACATGAAAATGAACTGAGTGCCTTAAAAAGCCACATCCAGGAAATATAAAAATAGTAACAGTCTGAGGAAAAGGGTGTCTTGCAAAGGCCTTTCATGATAAATATGTCATATAAAGCCCTTTCCTTGCTCATAACAATTCTGGGCACTAGATGGCATTGAAAGTTTATAAATCTACTGAATAATGAATAATGAAGAATAATGTGCAAGATATATTGGTACAGCAAACATGGATCAAAAAGTCTTATGTGATTACTTGGAAATAACTTAAAAATAAATACATACAGTAGATGTACAGTAGAAAAAGACAGATTTCAAAGAGAGTTCTATCAATATTTAATTATTCTTTTAATTTACACAAGCATTTGATATTACCCTTCACTAAACTATATCGTCCATCTTTTGGTACCATACACAGTACAGGCAAAACATTTGTACCTACAGCCTAGAACATTTTCAGTGCAGTGCCCATCTACAAGAGTAACAAAACTGACCAATAAGTCTTACTTTTATTGCATGTATGCGTATGGAAACTAGTCATGTGAAAAACAAAGTACACCCTCTTTCAATTCAATGGTTTTACATATCAGGGCATAAATAACAATCATGTGGTCCTCACCAACTTCTGTAATTAGACAAATCTAGTCTCAGATAACAGACAAAACATAGCAGATTTCACTATGTCACTATGATATATTTATTCAATAAAAAGTAAGCCAAAATGCAGAAACCATGTGGTAAAAAATAAGTACACTCTTACTGCTTCCATGGGAATTAAGAAGGTAATTAGCAGCCTTCTTAAAGACTGAACAAGTATGACTTTCATGGAAGCGTAGCCAGGAGATTTCTAGAACAATGTCCTTTGGACAGATGAGACCAAAGTGGAGATGTTTGGTCATTATGCACAATGCCATGTTTGGTGAAAACCAAACACAGCATATCACCACAAACACCTCATACCAACCATCAAGCATGGTGGTGGAGGGGTAAGATAAGATCACTTTATTGGCCATATACAATTTCTTGGATTAGGAATTTGTCTTTTTGCATACTCCAGCTTGCTCCATGACACACAGGCACACAAACGGGGAGAGAGAAGCTTGGGCTCAGAGTGCAGGATCAGCCACTTATATGGCACCCCTGGAGCAGTTGGGGTTAAGGGCCTTGCTCAGGGGCCCAACAGAGTTGGATTCCTCTGCCGGCCACAGGATTTGAACTGGCAGCCTTCCAGCCACAGGTGTAGATCCTTAGCCACAGTGCCACCGTTTCATAAACGCCTCTTTATACCAAAGTATTCTAGAGACAAATGTGAGGCTATCAGTCCAACAGGTAAAGCTTGGCCGGAATTGGGTCATGCAACAGGACAATGATCCCAAGCACACCAGCAAATCTACAGCTGAATGGCTAAAAAAGAAAAGAATCAAGGTGTTGGAATGGCCAGGTCAAAGTCCAGACCTCAACCCCATTGGGATGCTATGGCAGGACCTTAAGAGAGCTGTGCATAAACGAATGACCTCAGACATCAATGAACTGAAGCAATGTTGTAAAGAAGAGTGGCCCAAAATTCCTCCAAAATGATGTGAGAGACTGATAAACTCATACAGAAAACGATTACTTTAAGTTATTGCTGCTAAAGGTGGTTCTACAAGCTACTGAATCATGGGGTGTACTTAGTTTTTTACACATGGCTTCTGCATTTTGGCTTATTTTTTGTTAAATAATGACATAGTGGAATCTGTTATGTGTTGTTTGTCACCTGAGGTTAGATTTACCTAATTTTAGGACCTGGTGAGGACCAGATGATGTTTTGTTATGTCCTGATATATAAAACTACAGAATTGAAATGTATTTTTCACATGACTGTTTCTATAGACCTAAAGTAGAAGATTACTTATAAAACTAATATCCAGGGGAATAGTCAACATAGGTCTTGCTTGACCAACTCACTGAAAGTTTTGAACAAGCAGCTACACTAATGGATATACACAGAGCACATGATATGGCATATTTTGATTTTAAGAAGACTACAGATACAGATTCTTGATATAAGATTAGTTCTTTAATTACATGTGGTAGGAATTCAGGAAAATGCATGTGTTTGACTAAGAAATGGTTAATATCAAGTAGAGTACAAATAGTTGATGAATGCTCAAGACTGGGTAATGTAATTAGTGGTGTACTACAGGGATCTTTACTTGGAACACTGCATTTCCTAATTTGTATTGATGATCTAAAATCTGATTTGGTTTGTAGCCATGTTTGTAGATAATACTAAAATAGGTGGATTTCATTGTTGCCGCAAATACTGTAGAAGCTGAAATTAAAAGATATGTATATACTGTAATATTAAATATTGGGTAAACACTTGGCATATTTAACGTACAGGTAGTAAAGGTATAAAAAGCTATAAATATGTAACGGGAAACATGGTGTTAGAACAGACTTGTTTAAAAAGATTTAGATGTTGATATGGACACATCATTTACAATATCTAAACAATATATCAAAGCAATTAAAAAAGCAAGTTAGGATTTATAGTCAAAGAATTCATATCAAGGGATGTTAATGGATGTTAAGGCCCTATTTAGAATATAGTGCACAGTTTTTGTCACAATATTAAAGAAACGAATCTTAAATCAAGAATCTTCAAGAAATGTCCTGCACTGACAGGCTAATTAAAAGATATGTTTTTTCGTCTTGAACAGAGAATACTACAAGGGGACCTAGCACAAATATGAAAAATCTAAAACTGCTGCCAAAGTCGATATAGTGGACTTTTTCAGAATACAACAAAAACAAGAGAACATAAGTGAAGTCTGCAGGGACGTAGATTTGATTTAAAAACGGAGAAGAGGAGGCACTTGCAGTTAGTATTGTGAAAGTATGGAATAGCCCAGCTATGCAGTTAAAGCAGACAACCTGCTTTGTTCGATAAACAGCTTGTTCAGATCCTTCGATCATTTGGCTGCCAACTATAAAACAAGCTAGAATGGCTGAATTACATTCTCTCATTCTTAACCAGCCATTCAAACTGCTTCTTCCAATTCAGGGTGGGGAGTGATGCTATCCCAGCAAGCAACGGGTGCAAGGCAAGGTACACCCCAGGTGGGACACCAGTCCATCCCAGGGAAGACACACAGACAGACATGCATATATCAGGGCCAATTTTTCCCAGAAGCCAAATAACCTAAGAGTATGTTTTTGGACTGTGGGAGAAAAACCTCATCAACACAGGGAACAGATACAAACTCCATTCCTGTGTCCAGAAGAAGGGTCCCATTACTCTGAGGCAGCAATTCCTATTAACCTGTGCCACTGTTCCAACCCTTTATTCATAACTGTTCTTAGAGTCTTATAAATAAACTGTAATGCACAAGATAAAGGTCAGCAACCTTAACTCCACTCAGATTTTGTCAAGTCTGTGTCTGGTTCAAGAAAAACCAGGAGTAATATTACATACCTACTGAAAATGAAGCATTTATTTGAAGATAATATGTTTGTTTACTCATTGTTGCTATTGGCACCATCACTTAATATTTAATAATACTGATTTTTTAGAGTTTGTTCCCAGTACAGCCAATACGGGGCACTGGGACTACAGAAAAAATGATAGACAACAGACAAAAGCAGATGGAAAACTTTAGTCTGTTTCTGTATGTATACTGCGGCATTTTCTTTACACCCATGATTTCTCCTGTGCAAGCTTTATTGCATAATGATTGCTTTCATCTATTTTTGTTGAATTTTCAGGATAAAAATTGCATAAAACTAACAATGGCAGCTCTCAGGAAGCTTAAAATGACCCTGCACTTCACTTAACAGCAAAGCAAAATAGAGAAAGACTCATGTTGGAACCCCAGACGCCACTCTGTAAGCCTCTGACAACCAGCTTTTGACCGGTTACCAGACCCCGAAGTACAGCTCTTGTCATTTAATCTTCTAGATACGCCACCAGCTTCCCACCATGCCTGGGCTAGTATTCTACGCATTGTCTGTCATGAACTAATTTTCTGTGTTCATCCAAGTTCCTTCATTGAATGCATCTATTCCTATTTAGCTTAGCTGATCACAGTTGACAGGCATCTCCTAACCCATCCTAAAGGGTGAGTCGCATCATGTGGTGCTTTTGTGAATGGAAGCAGCTTTTACTTGGCTTGATTCTGTCACACAGTGCCAACTTGGAACCAGCTCAATTCCATCTTCCGCTGAAATCAGAAGCAACAATGAGAATACACAACAACAATGTTTCCTGTGAAATCCTCATTGATTGCTAGGAATTTCAGTGGTAATGAGCTCACCTTCTCACTATACATCAGCAGAGCTCGGGACACATGGGTTTTGGTTGAAGGACAAACTGGTTGTCATCATAATTCTGCAGGGCCCCGTGTCACAATTCGCAGCCCTTTTCTGTTCCTCACAGGTCGTACGCTGATTTTATTTATCAAGTCATGCCATGTCCATGAGAAATTTTACTACTTTGAGCTAGAACTTATAGTTCAAAAGCAGAAATAAATCTTTGTCCTGTTCTTGAAAATAAATGTACCATGGATTGTTTTATTACGAAGTTACTGTCACATCTTATTAACCTTTGGTACATTTCCAAGACGCATGAGGGAAATAAAAATTGCATCAAACAAAATCAAAAGACTAATTTCTATTTTTTAAACTAAAGTAATATAATATTTCTTATTTTATTATTTTCTGCAGAAAAGAATATCTATAAATATGGGGTTCTACAGGACATTACACTCCAAAACACATTAAAATTTCATTTGAAGCACAGGAATTTAAGTGCCTAAGTTTTTTTAATATAGTATATATATAAAATCCACATTATATACAGTCTATTAATCACAGCTTGATGTATTCACAGAACTCTTCCTCATCCACATCTTATTTGTCTTTAAAGCTAAAAGATAGTACTGATTAACTGACCATTACAGAGTATATAATAATTATTGGGTAAAAAAAAATAAGAAAAACTTAGGAAAAAAATTGTAAAGTCTAAAAATAAATATATTATAGTATATTTATTCTTCAATTTTATAAATATGATTTGACCCTGTATCATATACAAATCACACCACAGTTTGTTAGGAGAGTAACGTGAAAATCTTTTCCATTCAAAATGGAGAGGTTAAGCTCAATTTGTGAACTCAATCAACAGCTATGATCTTTGATACAAGTTAAGACACTGAGACACAGTGGTGATTAGGATTTAATGAAGAATAGAATCCAGTGCTTATAGTTTTTATCATACTCTTCATTTAATTCATAAATATATAATGCTTATCTAAAGAACACTTTCTCTTCATTATCTCTTAAATGTTCTTTAAAAATATTATAAAAGAGAATATTGGAATATATAAGCAAAGTCATCCTTAAGCCTAGAATAGTTCATTTACAAATAAAATAGATATTTGATGAAGCACTGGCTCCATAGTCATAAATGTGTACAGTACATATTTACCTTTCAACTGAGTTTCTTACTAAAACCTGTAGCCCATCTGTATTCTTCATCCAGAGGGGGCAGTCATCACTTCTCTTTATATATGTGTCCATTACCTCAGTTAGCTAGTCACATATCAAATAATATTAACAGTAATTACCTGAATGTATCTCCTACTCTGTCCCGAAAGTATACAAAATCTTCATCATCATGCAGCATGAGATCACCAGTGTTGAAGTACAAATCTCCCCTTTTAAAGACATTCCTCAGCAACTTCTTCTCTGAGAGTTCCCTATTTCCAGCATATCCAAGGAAGGGGTTCATGACTGACACTGGAGCAACAAGAAGACCAGTCTCACCTACAAAATAAAAAGCTGATTAAACACCAACAGCCTGATTATCACAGTGACAGAGAATGGGATCTGGACTGACCCTATTCCTGTCCTCTAGTTTGTCCAATTTTAGAACTTGTTGCAAATGTATTACAAATATTCTATATTTATATATACAGTATGTACATTTTTATATTTTTAGGACTTATGAATATTTTTTTTACCCCTGGAAGACAGGATTTATGGAGGAAAATGTCATGCCTGTAAGAAATATGCCTTTTAAATGAGCCTTTTCTTTTGAAAAGGAAGCATGCTTCAGTAAATTACAGAACAACCACATTTGCAGAACAAAAGTAGCTTGTAATTCATGCAGTAGCTGATCTCAATGGATAATGTTTTATGCAACCTCAAAACTGGCATTACAAATTGGACTATATACAGTATATATACAGTACTATTTGACCAAAAGTATTTGGATATCAGACAAAATAACAAAAGACATCTGTTTACAATGTATATAATATGGTTTTAGCCTCCATAATTGTTTTCTAGTTTTTTGTACTATAATTAAAGGGTTTAAGAATAAACAAAAATGTAGAAAATATTGTAATGTGCCAGAAATTTGTATTTTTAAATTAAATTTGAAAGTTCCGAAAACAGGAACAAAGAGTTCTGTCTGTGTTTAGTTATCAGGTTCTAGCCAGTGAAAACTTGGCCACAGTCATAATTTTCCTTCTTAATATACCCTGAGCTTGGTCATTAACTTGCCAATTGCCACTGAATTATATTTCCCATATGTAGAAATCTTACTTCCCGACCTATCAGAAACAGAGATGCACTAATATTACCACATTCTTCCACTAAAAAATAAAGAAAAATGTTCAGAAAATCTAAAGAATAGCAGTTCTGGGAAAATACGTTTAAACAATGCATATATAAAACAATTACATTTTATAAATGAATGTTAGGATGAAAATCTAAATAAAAAGACAACAGTTTAATAAAATATGGAATATATCAGTTTCTTACCCTTCTTGACTTTCACACAATACCCCTTTTCAGTCCGTACTGGTTCATTGCTTTGGAGATCATATTTCAAGAAATCAAAGGGTAAAATGCGCTGAAATATAAAATGAGAAACATTTTTAAGTGTACATAATTAAAGAAGAGTGAATCTAGGCTTTGCTTAGATTCTTACAGATTCAATTTATACACACATATGCAGTCAAATGTTTCCTTATTGTAATACTGTATGTCTGTTTTAAAACAGTCTAAACAGGTAAACACCCTTATACTGCAGCTCATTAAATATTTAATACTGAATTAAAAATGCACGGCTTTGACAGCTGTCATTAGCAGCAGGAAATAGCTTGAAACATTCATGTTTATTTTACATTTGTTTTGTTGGACTTGATCCCACTGGAATACTGCAGAGCGAGCTAGCGCTGACATAATAGCTGACCACACCTTAACTCGCTTGAAAGTGGGTTCCGACAGGAAACCTGTATCACCTGCAGGCAATGTACAACCACACCCACCTCGAGTGATACTGAATTTCTAAATGTCCCTGGACAGTGAACAGGACTCTGCTTTAGAGTTTGCAGTGTGTTAGGGTGGCTCAGAGCCCATCAAGTTTATAGTTCCCGTGTCACCGCTTGTGGAGTTATGTATGGCTGCTGTGGCACCACTAGCTTGGTCTACAGTGTTCCAGCACGAGCGAGCTTCCCAGGTTTAGATTAAGATCATTAGATCTAGAAAGGTTTGAATGGGGACCTATGTCAAACTGTGAGCCGCAAAGGAACAAGCAGTGGTTAAGGACACAACAATAAAGAAAAAGCAAAAAATGTTGTGAAGCCTTCCTCGGGCATTTGGTTTTTCCTAATCCCTCATTGCATTAAACTATTCTCTTGACATTGAGATTTTTTTAAGTTTAGAAAACTAATTTCAAATTAAAACAGGCTTGGTTTACATCCTGTAGTCTGTTTTACATTTGAGTGTTTCATTAAAATGTTTTTACAAATGTAAACCTTAAATGAATCACTTCTAAAACACTGTATAATTAATCTTTTTAATCAAGATGCAATTAAACACAGTATGTTTATGTATTTTGATGTTTTCTTCTATCAGAGGGCTTTTAATAAATACAGGTAACATTTTTTCAGAACAATCATATGAGGGCTACTTACATAAGGAAACATAATTACAGGTATCTATACAGATGTAATTAACAGATAAAATATACATTGTGTACCACAAACTGAGCCACAAGCATTCTGCTTGTACACAAAGTTTTAATAACGACATGTAAGTGCCTTACAATGCATACCTTAACTCTTGAAGAAAAGCCCTTTATTGTAGAGAAATTTGAAATTATAAAAACAAAATAGTTGTACAAAAGCTATACAACGTTTAATATAGCTGACCTTATTTAAAAATCCTGCACGTCCAATTGGTCCAATTTTATTAGTGTAGTTAATGAAGCCAATACTAGCTTCCGTCAATCCATAAGATTCGACAATTTTAATCTTTCCAAAGCGTTTAATGAACTCTTTCCAAACATCAGATCTCAGGCCACTCCCTGCCACAATGCGTACTTTATGATTCATTTCACCAGCTACCTGTGGATAAAAAGTTAAGTAAAACATTTTAAAAAGACTCTAAATTACACTTTCTCAATTCATATGGTCAGTAGGTTAGGAACTACTGAACAAAATAAATATTTTCTCTTGACTGTTGACTGCAGGGAAGATAAAACAAATACTGGAAAAAATATTTCATTCCTAAAAAGTAGTTTATTTAGGACTCGGCAAAAGTGTGCTGCACAAAATATACTACACTATAAATGGCCTTAAAATAAAACTACAGGCCTAAATAAAGTTTATTCAGGTCTGTAGGTGTATAAAAAAATGTATTCAAAATAAATTGAAGATGTTCTCTTTTTTAAAACATTTGATAAATATTTACATGCATAAACAGACATATACAGTATTCTGATGTACTAGAACACTGGTTATCATTGGCTGAGTTTTAAGTAGAGTGTCCATAGACCTTTATACAGTTTGTCTATAGGGGCATCTGATTCCTTAGGAGTACAAACCTAAAGAGCAAGACAGACTGTTTTCCAACAAATATTTCAATTTCTGCAATGCTGGATTTATTAACTCCATGCTTTTATATGCCATTTACAGTCTTGTGAAAAGCATGGTGGGTTAAGGGTACTGGTTACAAAAATGTACCACGGTTGATTTAAAGAAATGTAAAACATCCTTGAAACTGTTGTGTTATAGTTTGGAAGCCTAATTGTAAGATATTGCAATTTAAAAGAACCAATAACCAAATTGGTCAGTGCTAAAAATCAACACTAGCACTATTTTATTATCAGTCTTATATATCAGATTATATACAGACGAACAACCTTTAATGATTAAGATTTATAAGTGTCCATTGTCTCTTGTGGCTTGCTTTTGATCCTAATGATCTAAATAAGGACTCAGGTAATATCTCTCTTAGTAGGCATGTCTTAATTATTAAAATCTTTGTTTCAGAAAGTGACAAAACACACAAACTCACTAATATTTTTATTAATGTGGAAACCAAATACTTAGTATTAATATTGATTATGTTGCCAAAAGTTTCAGCTTGTGTTTGTGTCCAACCACGATATAGTCCAATTTAGTTTTGGAGCAATTTAGATAGTATTTGGCTAAATCATGTCTCTTTTTCTTTGTTACTGTATGTTGCCACAGATTTTTTTCAAGGGCACTAGATTTATTCAGCATGAAGATGTTAGAGTTTGTCACAATTTTTGTCAGGAAACAGTTCTCTCTCTCCCACTACTTTACACTCCCTACATATGGATTTTGAAGGGTCTCTTTTTTTATTTTGAACAGAGAGGCCGTAACCTGACAGAGCCTTGTTTTAACCTGGCTGGTCCCATTTGGCCAGGGACTTTTGGCCACGATAAAAGAACCAGCTTTGTATGCACAGTCTCTGCTTTTCTGGCACCCCTGACATGGGCACAGTCAATAAGATTTCTTTGCTGCTCCTTCTGTGTCGTCTCTGGGAACCTGCTTAACACAGCTAATGAAATGTGGTGCACCTGAGCACAACTAGCATTTCTATGCGAGACATTTTCCTCAATAAATCCTCATGTGGAAATCCATGTACAATAAAATGAGATCGGAGTCCAGTCCCACAGTAACCTCATGTGGATAAAGGTAGGGCCCCAGGTTTTTTTACAATATACTACCTTGTTGCATCACACATGTAAACGAAACGTTTGTGTTCCCTACCTTTTAGCATAGAACCATACTACTATTTGTGAACATCCTGATGATACAGTAGATGTTACAGTTTCCACAAGGATGTTCATCTTGTTATGTCTCTCACCAAAGATGGAGGTAGAAATTCTGAACACTTCAGACAATTTTGTGACTGTGCCTGTGATGATAAATTATATAAAGTGGATTGCAATGGTATAAAGTTTCTTTTTTTTACCCAATATCAATCAAAGTGAATTAAAACGTTTCTGTCTGATTGATATATACTGTATATATATATACACAGTATAAAATAAATTACTTATTGTTTTATAAGTAATTATATTGTAATTATTGTAATTGTTATTATTATTTACATTGTGGTATGTGACAAGATCAGACCAAACATCAAGATATTTTAAGAAACTTTCAAATGAGTAACTAAAATTAGTGATTTTTATAAACAGATTACAGCATTAAGCTTTTACATCTTTTGAGGGTACAAATAAATTTAAACACTGTGTGTAGGCAGTACATATACATGCAGAACACTGTATATAACAATTTTTGAACGATATGCCACTGATGTTTAAACTATGCATTCAATTTTTTACATTTTAAATGTATAATGCTTGATGCACATTTTGTAACAATCATCCTGTCCTGTAAGTATATAATATTGCAAGGGTTTGAATAAGAGTATGGACACATTTAAAGAAATCCCTTCAGTCATAAAGCATTCTAAAAAAAACATCCTACAGACGTCAGGTTTTGAAATGAAGACTGTTCCTACCTTAGGCTGATTAACCAGATATCGACACAGTTCTCCAATATACTGGAATATTGTGACATTATATTTTTGGCAGTCAGACCAAAATTGACTTGCAGAAAATTTCCTCTTTAAAACACAGGTAGCTCCTTGGGTAAGAAGTAACAAAAATCAATAATAATAATACACAGTAGGTATTCAGGTATACAATATGACTGCCATATTACACTGGCCTTTTATTATGTCTACATATACTGTAAAACAAGGTAATTAGTTATAAAAAGCAGTAATGTTTAAATTGTTATGCTCGTTACAATATATTGACCATCTTTAATTTATTTTTAACTTTTACATTTCTGCCCAATCCTAGCAACTCAGCAGGCTTAGAACAAACTTATAATGATATGTTTTAACAGACAAGTGATTAAGTAAATTTGATATAAGACCAAGATTAAATTAAGGTTTGACCCACCCATAAGCATCAATCAAGTAATTGAAGGAGGCTTTTTAATTTGTACCCATGGGACATTTGCCATCAAACACACAGTTTGTAATGTGCAATGGGTGTACGGGTTGAGGTTTGATTTTATCTGGGCCTAAATTAATGGAGAGATTTTGCAGATAGCACATTCTTTGCATAAACACTATAATACTTGTTTTCATTATTTGTAACTCAGATATCACTCAGATAAGTATAACCTATGGCTTTAAGTATCTGAATGAAGAGTTTCAAAAAGGTACACAGCAAATTTGCAAAAGATGTTAATTTGTTTGTTAAACCAATTTCCACCCTTTCTGAAACACTCTAAGGAATTGTAAGGAATGTTTTAAAGAATTTTACAGGAAATATGTTACTGACAATACAACAGGACTGTGGCCTTCTTGTTTAAATTGCTTCTTTCTTTCTTATCAATGTGAAATTACTTTAGTTATTTAAACTATTCATTGTATGGTTAATAAATATTTAGAGTTACTACTGTCATGATTAGGAGAACACAGCCACAAACAAATGGTATTAATAACCTGTGATTAAGCTTCATGCAAATAAAAGCCACAATATATTGATAACACACAGTGACAGAGTGACTGAGAAAGTAAAACAATTTAAGTGTACCGGAACACAACTGTAGACATTTCTTCTCATTTAGTGTGCTAAACAAACCATTTACTATGCTGGTTAAAATATTAACTGAGTTTCTGAGTTTTTTCATCCTTATGGGGATCAGATGGAGAAAATGGTATGTCCCCAAGAAGAATTAATACTCCAATGATAGAAGACATACAGTAAGCAAGATATGGAAGCAATATATATACCAATAATACATAAGCAATAATGACTCTCACAGTTGTTGATAAAGTATGTAATTAAGTATCTGTACCTGAAATATAACCATTTACAACTGTGAATAAAGTACATAGCAAATAAAAAGTTCTTTCATACCAAGTTCAATGCATCCTCCAATCCCTAAAAGGGAAGCTGACATATGGTACAGAGGAAGAGTAATATAGATGTTGTCATTAGTCGTGGCTCCACATAACCGTAGAAAGCATAAGCACATTACTGCTTTCAGGTGACTTATACGAGCAGCTTTAGGAAGACCTTTAACAGAAAAAAAGAAGAATACAAATTATTCATATATATATTTGAAAATAACATCCTTACAACTAAAAAAGCAAAAATGTTTTGTATTTTTTTAAAAACTGCAAGGACTGATTAAGTGTGGGTGATTACTCTTCATTTTTGAAGGTGCTGTTAGACTAGTTATTTATAGACTGGTTTTGTGTTCTTTTGCTTCTTTTACATTCTTCTGTCCTGTGTATGAACATAGAAGGAAGCTTTCTCTGACCTGATGCCTACCCTAACAACACAAATTATCTACATAAGGATACGTTCCAGCAACTCCGTTTAGAAAAACACATCCAACATCATTTCAAAGGATGATTTTAGCATTTTGGGTTACAGTGAGCTATATAAAGCAACACTCTCAATCTTCACAAAATTTTATAGGAAGGAGTTGTTTGTAATTTGTTAATTTTAGAATAACTTGCTTTCTACCCGAGCTGTTCAAACAAGGAAACTGAGCTGTAAGTGATGTGTACACTGGAAATTTCATTCTGGAAGGACTATCAAGACCTTCAAAGGACCATATAAGGTCATTAAAAGTTTATTTAATGATAAATTATTTGATAAATCAATAGAATTAGTTGGAAATTTACAGAACCATACAATATTCGATTTTATATTTGACCACCCTCCACATTAACTTTTAAAGATATTTGTGTCAGAGTGAGTGCCAGTATTCTACTACATTAAATGATCTAGCCTCCAGCAGGGTGTCGTGAAGATAAAAATATTCATTAATTTCATGGAGTGTTTTTAAATATGAAAACAATTGAGTCAGAAACATTGTGTGGCATTTAATTAAGGATTCAGCTTTTAGCCAAAGTACTGTTTTGTGAAAAACTATTCACCTCCTTTCAGATTACAACTAACAACGATGTGCTGGATGACGTTTCTGAAATAAATTTAAAAAGCACCAAACTTTGCTGTTATTTGTTCATTCAGATTACCTTAATATATCAGTAGGAACCATATGAAGCTCTGGTAACATTTAATTGTGACAATATGCAAAAATTCAGAAACTTGAAAGAGGGAGAATACTTCACAGAATGACGGAGACTGTTAAAAAGACTGTTTAAAAAGACAGAATGGAAGTGATCAATGAGTGAAACGTTCAAGGAGCAATGCTCTGATTGTTTTTCAAGAAGGTGGCACAGCAGACAGCGGACAAAATACTGGGCCGTGGCTACTGAAAAATTTTAGATCTGGTGTTGGGAGTCCTGCATTTCTAAAAGTGGTACTCCATCAGCTAGGTTGAGTAACTGGGTATACAAATAGAGTACAGTACATTAAGAAATGGTTACAGGCAGAAACCCAAGTGAGACATCTGGAAAGATTTGATACACAGAGATGTGTATAATTTATTGCATTCAGGTGCATATCTGAGTGGATCAATACATTTTTTGGCTCCAAGTGGAACACCAAAGAAAGAACAATGGAGATGACAATGGGGAACAGTTTGCAAACCACTACAGAGAAACAAGAAAAAAATTCCTGGGACCATGGAGCCACAAATAATTTGTCTATTACCACAAACTACCACAGCATGGATTAAATGTACTGTACAAGGAAGTATTATAGCTTGTATAAGACTGAACATGAGCAGAAAGAATTGGCAAGACATGGCTTGTGGCATAGAAGTACAAAAGGTATAATGGAGGATGATCTCTAGAGACCCAAAAAGAAAAATTGATTTCTCCATGTATAGGAGAATTCACACACTCGAAGACCCAGTCAAGGCTGAAAGACTGTGGAAAGCAGAGAAAGCAGAAGAGGGAGAGGGGGGTTAGGGGTGGAAGTGATCTTGGTCGTTCCAGAGCTCCAGGGAGATAGAGGACATCAGAAATACAACTTTCCCTTTAAATGGTTAGTAGGCTTTAATCTAAATGGCAACTGCATTGCTTAGTCAAGTTTTATAGCGCCTGAAGACTTTGCTCTGATCTCACTCTTGTTGTTATAAACAGCCATCACGCTGTCTGCCTGTTCATATTTTCCATCTATTTATTTTTAAAAATTAAATGCAAATGTGAAAAAGCGGTAGAATCTTCAAAAGACTTTGAAATGTAATGTAATAAATCTCACCAGCTCTTTTAACAACTACAAGTAGTATGTTATTACATAACATAATATTTATATAAAATGAAATAAATACTTTTGGACACTCAGTTACTACAATGGATTGTATTTTATTCACTATGTCCTAGAATTAGAACTGTGAAGTTTTTTTTTTAAAAGACCTTACATTTTATTTACTTTAAAAATTGCATAGGGGATATTGAGAAACAACATTTGTATTTCTGCTTTTGCCTCCAACATTTTCACAGTGATATTGCACAGTGACAACTGAGTCATGGGGTAATTTAAAGGGGAATTTCAGTCCCAACTTCTCACACTGGTTATTAAATCTTAGCAACAAAATAAATTAGTTGTAAAATTTTCCAAATTCCAAATTAAGTATAAAATTGTGAACTTTGTGAAAGTACTGTATAGTCACCATGTTGTTTAGAGTTTGTGAGAATTGTGACGTGATGCGGCCCTTCCTGCTTGCTAGTTACTGTGTATTTCTGGACAAAACCGTCTTGAAGTCAAGAGCAATATTTCTATTAGATTAAAAGAGATGTATTCACAAGCCTGCTTCTTTACAATGTAATAGGGCCACTTCAGCTCATTGGAGTCTTGGTTGCCTTGTTCTGAATCACAGAATATGGTGCTGCATATACTATTATTTTGTCTATTTTGTGATGTAAATTGGTGATTTTACGTATTAAGGTGTACATTTTACTTTCACTGTGATCTGAAAAGTATTCATCAATGTTGGTTCTTTCTCAACCTCAACATATAAAAATAGCATTGCAGTTTTCCTTTAAAAATGCAATGGGTTCTCAAAGTTGGAATCACGCACATATAACAGGAATGGCTGTTCCTATCTGTTTCAGGTAAAATTGATTAATAGTTGTTCCCATTAGTGAGGCTGGTAATAGCCCAAGATCAGAATCTTCCTGTATACAGTTTCATGATAATGTACTGTTGTGGCTTGAGTGTGTGTGTGGGGTGATAGCTAAAAGATTGTAATTCCCAATTAATTTACCTATTCTATTCATTTAACACAATGTGAATTGTCTAAAGTATTTATACAGCTGTGCTTGAACCCTGCAGCAAGTAAACATGGTGAAAGGTACAGATGGTTAAAGAAGTAGCGTTAATAGTTAGCTCAGGTGAAATTAATTCACTGTTAAATCATTATGTCAGCCATATAAGAAAATAAATATTTCACAAAGACTGGACCGGAAGTGCGACCACCTTTCATGGGGATGGATTGCATGACAAAGCTGACCTCAAGGCAGGATAAATATAGCTGTGGGGTGTGGAGTAAACACAGTGGGGGTGAGACATAAACATGGGAAGGAAGGAAAAAGGAACTGTCATCATCATAGACCGCATAAAAGACTGGTGTGCTTTGCTTTTTCATCAGATTTGAAACCAGGTTCAGTCCAGGTAATCAGAACACTGGAAGAGTTATGTACTCTTCATAAAAGTGTTTGATTTATTAGAGGACATTCTGATTTCCTGTAATGTGTAATCCTCTGGCTAAATTGTTTTGTCTTCCTTGGTGGTGTACTATTTTAAATAGAAAAAATGTTTAATTCATGAGCTCCTGCTATCGGATTTAAGTCAGAATCCTTTTCATAGGATATAATGTACTGTAGATTCTCTCTTAGCTTTTTAAGGTGATTTGTCTTTACATTACAGGTGTAGACGAAATGGTGTTTCTATATCTGTAGAAAGCAGATTTGTAAATATCTATATAATAATAATATATAGATAACAATTGCTTTCTGGACACTCCACTCAAAGCGCTTTACAGGTAATGGGGACTCCCCTCCACCACCACCAATGTACAGCATCCACCTGGATGATGTGACGGCAGCCATAGTGTGCCAGAACACTCACCACACATCAGCTCTCAGTGGGGAGGAGAGCAGAGTAATGAAGCCAATTCATAGATGGGGATTATTAGGAGGGCATGATTGGTAAGGGCCAATGGGAAACTCCGCAGGACTCCGGGGTTACACCCCTACTCTTTTCGAGAAACGCCCTGGGATTTTTAATGACCACAGAGAGGACCTCAGTTTTACATCTCATCCGAAGGACGGCGCCTGTTTACAGTATAGTGTCCCCGTCACTATACTGGGGCATTAGGACCCACATGGACAGCAGGGTGAGCGCCCCCTGCTGGCCCCACTAACACCTCTTCCAGCAGCAACCTTAGTTTTTCCCAGGAGGTCTCCCATCCAGGTATTGACCAGGCTCACACCTGCTTAGCTTCAGTGGGCTGCTAGTTGTGAGTTGCAGGGTGATATAGCTGCTACATGTATCATAGTAGTAACATGTTGGATGTGATTAGTCTGTATTATTAATTCTAATAAATATTTATTTGTCCTGTTTGCTGCTTGATCAATACTCCATTAACAAGTCCTACTGAGGGATAAAGAAATTATGTGCTGTATAACAGTTATTTACCACATGTAATGTGAGCAAATGCTATTTATTGATCCATAAAAATGTGCTGTTGAGTCTTTGATTCAGGTTCTCAACAGATGTTTATGTCACCAATTATAAATAAAAATCATGGAAACACAGGAAACTGTGCGCTCTTGCAACAAACAGATTCCTTGCTGTTTTAATTAGTGTCTTTAATTACTGTGTACAGTATAACGTTTAGTACAGCTGCTTTAGGAACCAGTATTGACACTGGTGAAAGCTACAGTATATGCAGTACTCGTTAGGTACCTGAAATTTGTGTCTTTGCTGATGGGCATACAGTATCATAACTAATTTGCTTTGCCTCGCATACTGATTTCATAAAGGTACAGATGTCTGTTTGCTCCATAAGACATATGTCTAAATCTTATGCAATTACTGTCACATATACAGTAGCTTCCCTGTTTTTGTTTTTCTCTTGCCAAATACTTGGAATGGGCACAAAGGTTTTACAGACCCCTTAAGGCAATACTGTTCCATTAGTTTTGGGCGTGGTGGTAAAAGCCTAACAACGGTGTAGGAAGACAGAATATTAGAACACAGGTTTTATGGATTTCAGCTGGGAATGTTCCTGTGTGCTTGAAACATTTCACTGTGTGAAGGAAAAGTGATTTTTCAAACCTGTTGGCTTGTTCTATCCTGGCTGGTAGCAGTAGCTAATCTTAAAAGTAATGGATAATGGATACTGTACTCTAAGCCTGGAAACTGGGTGAAGAGTCAAAACCAAAACACATTCAATTAAAATCTGTACCTGTGGTTCCAGATGTAAAGATATAGATGAAATTTGACATGATATCGGTTGGAGAGCAAACATCAGGTACTGATTCCTCTGAAGCACCTTCAATCTTGTCCAGCAATGTATTAACTCCTTGGTAAGGTGAGTCTCTGTCCAATAACCACAAATCAATCTTGTTTTGTTGCAGAGTAAACAGTACATCATCTAACAAGTGGATGAAATCTAAAAAAGAAAAAAAAATACAACTTTTATCACAGTCATCTGACTATCTCAGAGGTAACATATCCATTTCACCCAAGATAACCCCTTCATGGCACTACAAGATAAATGTTGTCAGCACTTTGTCCAGCATTTAAGGACCGTATTGTTAACATGTGGTTGCTAAAACTGTCCTTAGGGTGAATTAACACAGGATTTCTATATGTCCATTCTAAATAATTATGACTTATTCGATACATAGGAAACTCTGTCTGATTACCTGAACAGTATCTCTAATCCTATTCAGCAATCAATTGCCTCACTAAATATGTCCAGTGGTATAAACCTAGAGTGAGTATATGAACACTATGTCATACAGAAAGTGGCTAAATATTTAAACAGTAGCGCTGCCTTCTTAAAATCAACAATAAATTATATTTTTTTCTATACATTGTATAAAACATAAAAATATAAATCGCACTGCACACTTTAACTAACATATACACTTTTAAAAAACAAAACAATACTTGGAGTATACACATACTGTACTCCTTACTGGTATACTTAGAAGAGAAAACGTATATTTTGTATTCTACGACAACACCGAAAAAAACTAATCTGGCTGATGAGAATGATGTTTGAGAAAGAAATAAGCAAGACAAGTAAAAATGTAGGTGGCAAAAAAAAGTCCACGGGAAATGGTAACAAAGGTTATAGTTATTCCAAAATAAATCTTAGAAAAAAAGAAACGTTTTCTTAAATGTTGCAATCTTGAACAGTAGGTATATGACACAACCTATAAAAAAAAACAGTTGAATTACATTAAACATTATCAAAGTTCATGCAACTGGCTACTGTTTAAAATTGCACAATATGCAATACCTGAAGCTGGTTGCGTTCAGCAAAAGGATTCAAACAAAATAAGAAATAACATGGTGTAAATCGTTGTGCGGTGCAAATACCTGCGCCTAACACGAGGGTTTTTGCTTCACAGCTCTCGAAACAGTGTAGAAGTGATTTGGATTTGATGTTAAAGTTCAGGAACGCGACCTGACAGCCCAGTTTACAGAGTCCGAACCAAACACAAATGAAATCGGGTTCATTGCTCATCAGCAGGGCTACTGTGTCTCCTTTTTTCACGCCTCCCTGCTGCTTGAATACCTGCGCTACTTTGTTGCTTCTTTTGTCCACGTCTTCAAAAGTGTAAACCTCTCCTTCGAATACGATGAAGGGTTTGTCTGGGGTTTTCCTCGCTTGGTGGACAAAGCAGTCCAGGAAAGTGACAACCCCCTCCCCCATCCTTAGCTTCATCAATCGTTTGACTCTTTGAAACTTCAAGTAATAAATCAAATCATCCCAAAAGTAAGGATAAAACATCTTCTGGAAGATGAGTAAGGCGAGAAATCCAGCGGCTGCAGCTACAAACAGCGAGAGTAGCATCATAATACGGACGGCACTGACCGGTCAACACAGAGCGCGACGTCTTATCAAAATTGAAAGAACCTTTACACTTTTAAAAAGTCTTTACTAGAATCCGCGCATGCTCGGACTGATCTAAACTTGCTCAAGAAGAGCCGCACATATGCATTCATTCAAAAAAGAATGTGACCGCATTGCTACAGTGACCGTGGATAAACATCTAAAATTAACCAGCAATGCAAGTTTAAGCAATTTCAGAACCTTCCTGCTCTATGGTTTTTGTGACTGTAAGCCTAAATATGTAGTTTTTTTTTATTAGTTTATATGCTGGTTTATCTTAAAATGTGTAACGTTAGCATGGAAGTTCACAGAACGTTTAGAACCAATGTTAAAAAGTTAAAACTTTTTTTAGAAGCAGTTTCAAGACCGAATTCTTTTTTTGGCAAACGTCGACAAATGCAGACAATGTATTTTGTATTTTAAGTCCCAGGCTAAACCATTACCTACGGAATGCTCCTTGTAGTTTTACTTACAGCTGATACATTAAAAGAAAAGCTGCTCCTTTTGTGTTTTTTGTTGATTAACAGTAATAAGATGCACTTTCAGGTTTGTTGAAATTGATTTTATGATTTTAAACAATATGCCTCTCATGCTGATGGAAAAATATTATTTAGAAACAATTAAGTCCATAGGTAAATATTATTTAGCTACGGCAAAATTAAAGAAACTGAGTTTGAATGTTACCGTATATTACACTAACCTTCAAATCAAGTTTTCTCTAAGGATGCACTACAAATTATATGAATTACTTTTTGTAAAAAAGTTGAGGCATGGTCCTACAAATTGCTTATTGAGCTTATTGATTCAATGAGCATAGATCTGCAAACATTTATATAACACTTAAGTGAATAAATAATCAAAGCTCATATATAATAAAAATAGAAATAAATGCACTTTTTGAATTCACAACAGAGATACATCCTTTTGCTTGAGATAAACAAACACTACATCTTAAAGAAAAGAGCAATTTTTTTACAGGATGGCTGTACCACCAATGTTTTATAAGAAATGCATTTTTTTTTCAGTATTGGCAAGTGAAGTGCACGTTTCCCAAAACACACACAGAACCATAAAGAACAGATAAAATATGCGCTAATATGTTAAGTTGGCTTTTAAAGGCAAGGCTTGGGACTTTTACATAACTTTCCATAGCGATGTACTGTATATACAGTATTTTAAATAACTTTTAAAATGCTTTTCGTTCAAATATCTAAAAGTTATTGACTGGGTTTATTAAGGAACCTATAAGACACACTTTACATCCTGTTGGTTTACTATTTAAAATCACTTGCTTGAAAGTTTAGGGTGAGAAAATCAAGCCTAAGTTGAAAGAAGGTACAGGCTGCTTTTAAAGGGAATTTGGAATATACTTTACCTCAATCTAAATATATTTTTGTATGATAGCATCCTCTATCCCTAACATGGATAAAGAAAGTAAATACTGAGAAATGTTTATGAATATTGTTTTATAGTTTTTAAATTTAAAATCACACTACTTTACGTTTTGTGCTTTTATTAACAGAGGCTGCATTTTTTAAATTCTGGGGAAAGAAAGTTTGCTGAAGACCTCTTTTGTTGTCCCCCATCAACAGGAGGGGACATTTTGTGAATAACGTTTGTTATAATTTTGTCCAGCACTATAAAATACAATGCTTAAAATAAAATAACTATCCATCAAACCAACATGAAGCTATTGTTGTTGCTGCTGCTGTTCTGTGTTTTTGTTCTTGGTGTTTCCGTTATGTCTTTGTATAGGGGCATACAGTATATGCAAATAAGCATTTCATTGCACTTGTGCATATGACAATAAACTCTACTCTATTCACTTCAGCGGTACTTCCCTCCAACATTCTATCAAATGACACTTAACTACAATTAAACTACTGCATTGGAACCTTATTGCAACAAAGCTTGGGGATCTTATCAATAGAAACCTTCATATACAGTAAAATAAGATAAGATCACCTTATTGGCCGTATACAATTTCTTGTATTAGGAATTTGTCTTTGCACATACCCCAACTTTCTTTCCATGAGATACACAGACAGGGAGACAAGCTGGGGTTCAGAGCATATGGTCAGCCATTTATACGGCACCCCTGAAACGGTTGGAGTTAAAGGCCTTGCTCAGGGGCCCAACAGAGCAGGATTTCCCTGCCAGCCATAGGATTTGAACCAGCAACCTTCCAGCCATAGGCACAGATCCATAGCCACAGAGCCACTAGCAAGACAGGCCTGGAGCTATTGACAGCAGAAGATTGAATGCAGTATCATGAACAGTTCTTTCCGGGCCCTATGCAGACAACACAATCCGGATTTGTGAGGAAACACTGGGGAAAAAGTCGGGTATGGAGACAGGGGGGCGTGTCCATGGTGTGCAGGTGTCCAGGGGAAGTGAGTCCGGGGTGAACAATCCAAGACGAAGTCCAAATGGGAAACCAAAACAGAAGCATAAGTCCATGGCCAGGCAATCCATCCAGGGGATTAAAAACCAGGAACCTGGTCGGGACCGGCGGGGGGGATCAGGAACAGAAAGTTAAAACCATAACGGAGCCAGACACAGCAGGACCTCACGAAACAGAATTCAATGTAAAGCCTCGAATGACGTCTGTGTCTGGCTTTTAAGGGGGAACTGAAGAGGGGCTGGAATAAGGAACAGGTGCGGGTAATGGGGCAGAACAAGGAAGGGCTGGAGAGGAAGAGTAGCGATCGTGACATGCAGGGGTTCACAAAACAGTGAGAGATCTATCTCTGCTGCTGTGATAGACCTAGACTAGTCACCATTGTGCTACAGTATTACAATGGGAACAGGGAATAAGAGGAGACCTGTTTCCAAAATGATGGGCTGTCTTTATAACATTTGATTACCGAAAAGGAAAACAGTTATCACCGATGGGAAAAGGTCCTATACTGCTGTAATAATAATAATAATAATAATATTAATAATAATAATAATAATACAATTCTGCTGGAAGAGGTGTTAGTGGGACCAGTAGGGAGGTCCTAATAACCCAATACTCCAACACACATTCTATCCCAAGGACTATAAACAACAACTTTTCCATTATACAGGATGATCCCTCCACTGGGGCCCTTTTATCTGATTACCCCATCATCTCATATCTCCGACCACCTAATCTGCGTAACCTCCTTGTTCACAGCTCCCTTGGCCACCCCAGGAACCAACCACACTAGGCACTTTCCCTTGCAACAGAGCTCGCTGTAGCAAGTACATATCTAACACCACACTCAGATGACATCTTGTACCACCCTTATTTTACTGTATCTCTTACAGTAAATGCCCAGCCATTTAAATTGGGGAAACAGGAAGGAGACTCGGACTAATCCAAACTAATCTCTTCATCTGTGTTCTCAAAGCTGGTTTTCCTAACTCCAACATCAGAAAGACTATAGAAACTAAAATTATCCTAGGATCACACCTTTCCCCTTCTCTCAATGACAGACTAATTGTCTTCTAAATGTTCTCTATTCATTGTAGGTTTCATTTCAAACCTCTCTTCACCTATCCTGACTTCATACTACAGTACCTGATTGGCCACTCTGTCTGTCCCCTGCTCCTGTTTCCTACTCCTCCTCTCTCCCAACTTTTGTTCTCCTATGCAACATTATATTTTCTTACTGCCCTGTCTTTCTCAGACCTGAAGAAAGGTTCTATAGCCGAAACATTGTGTTTTATGGGTAATGGTAATGGATAATAGGGACTCCCCTCCACCACCACCAATGTGAAGCTCCACCTGTATGATGCAGCAGCAGTCATAGCTAGGACACTCACCACACATCAGCTATCAGTGGGGAGGAGAACAGAGCGATGAAGCCAATTGATAGATTGGGGTTATAAGGGCATGATTCATAATGGAAAGGGGGAGATTTGCCACGGATGCCAAGGTTACACCCTTACTCTTTTCCAGAAACACCTTTGGATTTTTAATGACCACAGAGACTCACAA